TTCAAACCAGCGCTTTTAATATTTTTGGAGAATACTTTCCACATATTTTAATGAATACCAATTTAAAAATTTTAATGGAGGTGTTTATGCTTTTAAAAAATATTGAATTAATTAAATCACACGGTTGAATTCTTTTTATAAATCTATATATATAAAAGAGCTTAGTGTTAAGTGAGTGAGTGAGTGAGTGACTGACTGACAGATCATCGCCCAGACGAAACGGCTAAAGCTAGAAGCTTGAAATTTTGAGTGTGGGTTGGTGTTGGTGTGTAGGCGTGAGATAAGGCTGGGTTTTTGGAAATTCGAACTAGAAGGGTACGAAAAGTACTAAAATGTACCAAATATGGTACCCTTTGTATTAGGCGAACGGGAAGAGCTAGAATTCTGAAATTTGGAATGTGGGTCACTGATGTAAAGTTAGGAAGATGTACAAAAGCGTTTTTGGAAATTCGTACTAGAACGGTACGAAAAGTACTAAATGTGATATCATTTGTATTTGGCGAACCGGTAGAGCTAGAACTCTGAAATTTGGATTGGTGTTCGCTGAGTGTAGGATAGATGTACCAACGGGTTTTTGGAAATTCGAAATAGAAGGGTACGAAAAGTACTAAAATGTACTTAATTTTGTACAATTTCGTAGCATGTGAATTGATAGAGCTAAAAACTTGAAATTTGGAATGCGACTTAGGGATGAGATGTAGAGTCTATTTAAGGAGATGGTTTTGAAAGCGTGTACTCATGTGTACGAAAAGTGCTATATGATACTATATTTGGTACAAATTTAATTTGGAGATACAAATCGAGCTGGAATCCTGAAATTTGAAATTAACATTAGGAGTTGGACATCTGAGTGTAGGATTGGGAATGTACGTAGTTTTGGAATTTTTTACCCAGTTTCAGTAATTTATATTCATGGGTACTAAATGGTACTAAATTTGGTACAATTTGAATTTTATGCGAACCAATAGAGCTAGAATCATGAAATTTGGAGTCAGGATAACTGTTGGGGTGTAAGATCGAGATATGTAGGAAGTTTTAAAAATTTTTACTAATGTGTACTAAATTTGGTACAATTTGAATTGTGGGTGAACCGATAGAGTTGGAATCATAAATCTTGGATTTAGGATCAGTCTGGGGGTAAAAGTTTGGGTTAAGTGGGACGTTTTGGAAATTCGTACTACTGTGTACTAAATTTGGTACAATTTGAATTGTGAGTGAACCGAAAGAGTTGTAATCCTGAAACTTGGATTTAGCATCTCTGTTTAGGGTAAGTAAGAAGTTTTCGAAATTCGTACTACTGTGTACTAAATATCGTACAATTTGAACTGTAGGTGAACCGATAGAGTTGGAATCCAGAAACTTGGATTTAGGATCACTGTAAGGTGTAGGATTGGGGTCTGTGGGAAGTTTTGGAAATTCGTACTACAGTGTACTAAATTTGGTACAAATTGAATTGTGGATGAATCGATAGAGTTGGAATCTTGAAATTTTGATTTAGGATCACTGTGGGGGTGTAGAATTGGGGTATGTAGGAAGTTTTGGAAATTCGTACTACAGTGCACTAAATTTGGTACAAATTGAATTGTGGATAAACCGATAGAGTTGGAATCCTGAAACTTGGATTTAGGATCACTGTGGGGGTGTAGAATTGGGGTATGTAGGAAGTTTTGGAAATTGGTACTACTATGTACTTAATTTGGTACAATTTGAATTGAGGGTGAACCGATATAGTTGGAATCCTAAAACTTGGATTTAGGATCATTGTGGGGGTGTAGGATTGGGGTCTGTAGGAAGTTTTGGAAATTCATAGTACTGTGTACTAAATTTGGTACAATTTGAATTGGGGGTGAACCGATAGAGTTGGAATCCTGAAACTTGGATTTAGGATCACTGTGAGGGTGTAGGATTGGGGTCTGTAGGAAGTTTTGGAAATTCGTACTACAGTGTACTAAATTTGGTACAAATTGAATTGGGGATAAACCGATGGAGTTGGAATCCTGAAACTTGGATTTAGGATCACTGTGGGGGTGTAGGATTGGGGTATGTAGGAAGTTTTGGAAATTGGTACTACTATGTACTTAATTTGGTACAATTTGAATTGAGGGTGAACCGATAGAGTTGGAATCCTAAAACTTGGATTTAGGATCATTGTGGGGGTGTAGGATTGGGGTATGTAGGATGTTTTGGAAATTGGTACTACTGTGTACTAAATGTGGTACAATTTTAATTGTGGGCGAACAGATAGAGTTGGAATCCTGAAACTTGGTGTTAGGATCACTGTGGTGGTGTAGGATTGGGGTAAGTAGGAGGTTTTGGAAATTCGTACTACTGTGTACTAAATTTGGTACAATTTGAATTGTGAGTGAACCGATAGAGTTGTAATCCTGAAACTTGGATTTAGGGTCACTGTGGGGTTGTAGGGTTAGGGTAAGTTGGAGGTTTTGGAAATTCATACTACTGTGTGCTAAATTTGGTACAATTTGGATTGTGAGTGAACCGATAGCGTTGGAATTCTGAAACTTGGAATTAGGATCTCTGTGAAGTGTAGGTTTGGGTTAAGTAGGAAGTTTTGGAAATTCATACTACAGTGTACAGTCATTATGGGGGTGTAGGATCGGGGTATGCAGGAAGTTTTGTTGGAAGTAGAAGGGTACGAAAAGTACTAAAATGTACCAAATATGGTACCCTTTTTATTAGCGAACGGGAAGAGCTAGAATTCTGAAATTTGGAATGTTGGTCACTGATGGAAAGTTAGAATGATGTGCAAAGGGTTTTTGGAAATTCGACCTATAAGTGTACTAAAGGTACTAAACTTTACTGAATTTACTTCCTGTTGTATATATATTGAACATATATAGCATGAATCTTGACATATGAAATGGAATACTGGTTGGGAAGTAGTGTTGATGTACGGAAATAAGTACATTCGTACTTATGTGTATAAAAAGTGTAAAATGGTACTAAATTTCGTACTATTTACATTCAGTTGAGTGTGTAGAGATGGAATCTTGATAATCGGAATTAGCTTTAAAAAATCGTACTTATTTGTACGAAAAGTACTAAATGGTACTAAATTTGGTGGAAGTTGGATTTAGGTGAACAGACAGAGCTGAAGTCTTCAAATTGGGAATTAAAATGACTGTTGGAATGTAGGACTGAGGTAGATTATGAAATTCGTACTTATTGGTACGAAAGGTACTATATGGTACTAAATTTAGTACAATTTGGATTTTGCTTGAAAGGATAGAACTGAAAACCTGAAATTTGGAATTAAGATTTCTGTTGAAGATTGAGCTATAGAGACATCTTTGGAAACTCGTATTTATGTGTACGAAAAGTACTAAACGGCACTAGATGGATTTGGGTGAACGGAGAGAGCTGGAAACCCATAATTTGGACTAATGGTTGATGTTTGAATATAGAATTGAGATATGGAAGCATAGTACCTATGTGTACTAAATAGTACTATATTTCGTACAACTTGATTATGTGTGAACGGATAGAGCTGGACTCCCGAATTTTTTAATTAAAATTACTGTTGGAGTGTAAGATTGACATAGTTTAGGAAATTGTTAATTATAGAAACAAAAAGTACTAAATGGGTCCGGAAATCTTACAAATGTGTGAACGGATAGGGCTGTATTCTAAAATTTTGAATTAATATTACAGTTTGAGTGCAGAATTGAGATATGTCGGTAATTTTTTAAAATTCGTCATTATGTGTACTAAATGGTAAAAAAATTGGTACAATTTTGATTCGAGTTAACGGATAGAGATAGTAAACGTAAATTTGTAATTAAAATTGCAAGATTAAGGAAGTATTGGAATTTCGTACTTATGGATACGAGAAGACCTAATTGGTACTAAATATGGTACAATTCGTTTTGTGTGAGCGGGAATCCTAATATTTGGACTTAAAAATAATTTGGAACAATTTGGACTTTGGTGGAAGTAAGATTAGGATTGATGGATTGATGTAGTTTTAGAAATTCTTACCTATGAGTATGAGAATTACTAAATGGTACTAAATTTGAAACAATTTGGATTTGGTTGAATCTTGAGATTTGGAACTTAGATTACTGTTGAAGTGTAGTATTGAGCTATGGAGACAACTTTGGAAACTCGAATTTATGTGTACCAATAGTATAGAATAGAAAATTCACTAAACTTGGATAACGGAGAGAGCTGGAAACCTAAAATTTAGAATGTTGGTCATTGACAGAGAGTTAGAAAGAAGGACCAAAGGGTTTTTGGTACTAAATTTAGTGGAGGTGACGGTGTTCGAAAAGTTCTAAATGGAATTACATGTGGAACCTGTACGTTTTTGCTAAAGTGTGGATTTCGGAAAATAGTGCTTATGTGTATGAAGAGTAATTAATGGTAATAAACTTGATATTAAATGTAGCAATAGAGGTGGAATTCAGAACTATAGTACAACTAATTATACGGTATTCACCATTTCCATATGAAATATTTTTTTATTCCCTTTCCGCATACGAAGTAGCGGGTATTTGTACATCACATGTGTAAACATTTTCAATAAACAAAATAATCGTTTTTTGTACATGATCTATCTCGCCACAGCACACAATAGATCAACATCAAAAACTGTTTGCTACTACACACACACACAAATAACCAAACAACCAAATTTATTTGTCTACTCGATTTCACTCTTAGAGTGAACTCATTCTCTATTTTGAACATTTTGACTCACACTCTTTTTCTTCAACAAGGAGTACTCGCGAGCACTCCCAAACAAAATAAAAGAGTGGAGAGTATACTCCCTAAAAAACTCGCACTCTTTACTTACTCCCATTCGGGAGTATTTTTCACTCGCGAGTAAAATCGAGCAAATCGGAGCTCTGCCTAAAATACAATATATACAACTTAACAACTATCAATATATACAATCACACATACAAAAAAATCTATACCTACATACATACATACTATATACAAACAATTATCGCCTATTATCGAAAATAATTAGAGTACTGCTATTGATTTGATCTGCCACTGGGCTGCGAAGCCGTATTAAAAAGATTTTGTAATGATGATTCGGTGGCCATTTGAAATGGTAATATTCGATTCAAAGTATCTGACAGTACACTCGAATCGTTGTTATTGGTTGTTGGGTTGGGGTTGTTGTTGTTAGAGGGGTTATTGTTACCACTGCTGGTGCCGATTTGGGATGCTGGCTGATGATGGTGTGCCTCAACATTGGTAAGTTGAACATCGTTTGTACTGGAGGGCGATTGGCAAGCAGGAAATAATGGCGATCGCTGAGAATGCGGACCTAAGGACGTTGTCGAATGTTGTGGTGTGCTCTGAGTGATCGGCAATGTAATCTGTGGATTTATACTACTACTCTCGTTAGCTGGATGCGTTATTAGTTTGGTATCCTCCACACTAGCATCGGGAATCGCATCACTCATGTTTATATTGAAGTTCAGCGGATGACTAGAGTCTGTGGCTAATTGTATGTATGAGAAGATTGAATCTTCACTGGTTGTAGCTGCAGCATTATTAGAATCACCTTTATAGGGTGATGTTGTTTCCAAAATCTGCCCAGAATTTGAATTGTTAAGGCGATTGCTTGTGCTGCTTATGTCGGCGGGGTTATTAGAATTTGCTGCACTTGCATTTTGTACTGTACCTGACATGGGGTTTAATGGTGGTTCAGATGATCCCATATTCTGTAACGGTGATAGATTTAGAAATGCATCGAATTCTTCCTGGGCGAATTGCTCCAGCTCTGGTACATTGCGATTTAGAATCAGTTGATCTGGATCTTCAGAATTGAGCGGTCGTTGTGTTATATGGGTATTACCTAAAGCCTCGTTAGTGCTGATCATATTCGATGCTTGGCTTTGTAATTGTTGGCTTCCATGGTGGTGTTGTTGCTGCTGCTGTTGACACTGGTTCCTTTGTGCCTGGTTGTGTTGCAGCTGCTGTTGCAAGTTCTGTTGATGTTGCAACATTATTTGTTGATTATTCATTTCATTGGAGTTCAGAGCAAAGCCATACTGATTGAACTGCTGTTGTACCGCATTGGTGTTCAAATTGATGTTGCGGCTGTTGGTGCCCAATGGCATAGCCTCGGTCTGACCATAGTTCACGGGCATCATGGGCTGCAGCAGGGTGTAACGGGCCAACAGCAATTGCTCGGACACAATCCGCAATTCATCCTGTTGTTGGAGAATTAATTTTTGCAGTTCGTCATGTTTACGTTGCAGCTGTTCCTGCAATTGACTTTGAGAGGGGCTCATCACTACGGGGGCAGCTATCATGTCGTGTTGATGGTGATGCTTTAAAAAATAATTTGAAGTTGTAAGTGCCACTAACAATAAATATGAAAAATTAGTTAAGAAAGCTTACCGGTAACGGTGATATGACGGGGGCAACCTGAAATGGGGCTATCACCGGTTGCACTGGTATGGCTGTAAGGTATTGCGGTGATTCAATAAATGGTGGTGCCACAATCTGTGGACTACGTAGCGGGAAAGTGGGCTGTGAAAATTGACATGTTCCAGTTCCGGCCATTGGAGTACCCTGCACAATGGCTGGATGCTGCGATATTGACTGAAACATTCTCTGACCCTGAGCCGAAGGGTTCATTGGTATTTGTTGTTGTTGTTGCTGATGAGGATTTTGGCTATGTTGCGATTGTTGTTGTTGCGAATGTAACGAATGATTTTGTTGATGATGATGTGAAAAGTGGGAATGATGCGGATTTGAAGTTGAGTTCTGTTGCTGATGCTGTCCGCTGGAAGAAAAGTTACTATGACCCATATTGGAGGAGAATCTTTGACGACCCTATAATGAAATTAAGGGAAATATAGATTTGGGATGTGAAGACAATTTAGAAAAATGTGTGTGTGTCCATTTTCGAGTCATTCAAATATAAAGACCTAAAGTTTATCCGTTTGGCAATTTTGTAAATGATGCGCCAAACTCCTAATGTTTGTCCTATTAACACGAAATTTTGCACAATTTAGACTAGAATAATGTAATTGCGTTTTGTTGAAATTTGTGCAGATTCAGTCATAGCTCCATATATATTTCGAACGTGTGTCTGATTGAGATTATTTTTTGAACATAGATAATTTTAGTTATTTAATTTTAAATCGTTTTGAATAATTTTTTCCCATTGTAAATCTGAAATACATTAGGTTTTTGAACATATTAATCAATTTGTTACATTTGCTTTACTCAAATCCATATCAAATTTCAAAATTTTCTTCTCCGAATTTAGCCATATGTGTGATATATGTAAACATAATATATATTCTTACAGGTCCTTCATAAACTTTAAGCAAGAAATCATCACGCCATAAATGGAAAAGTTGACCTATGGCTTTTGTCCTTCTGGGATCCTAATATACTCGACAAGGGCTTTCGCCACAGACCAACCGCCCCAGACCAAGACCTTAATTTTTCAATTGTGTTATTATTAAAATCGATATTGAATCCATATTCTATTCAGAATTTTAAAGTTTGAGGGGGAAGGACCAGGATTTTTTGCTTTTTGAAGGCATGTAAAAGGAAAATTATCTGGAGAAAAATATATCTTTAGAAGACGTTAACTTGATTTTATATTTCGCTATGTAGTTCAAAAAAAAACATTGTTTCGAGAAAAACTCGTTAAAGTGTGGATAAGTCAATTATATCTACAAAAGTTTTTCAAATTACCACTCGAATTTGTTAATGAGAAATCCTAGAGTATAAGTTCAAATTATATTAAAAAAACGATTTTTTAATACCGGGAATATGCGGTTGTCCCCTTAATAAATTGTTGTTCAATTGCATCTGCTTACCGTACTCATGTGAGTCATCAGCGATTGACGACTAGTTCCCGATTCCGCTGACATCGATGTGGAATCCGATTCATTGCCACGGCAATTGTACATGTAACGTTTCCGTTTCACATTCGGCGATACGCCCGTCGAACTAATATTACCATAACTGGAAGCGGGACGAGAATTTGATTTTATAGCCTGCAACTGACATCCTTGACCCGTACCAGTGGGCGTGGGTGGATTTGTCCATAGTGTCGAAGAATCTAAACTGGGTGAGGTCTCGTTGCGTAGAATATCACCAATGAGATTTGCAGAATGGCTGTACAAATTGTTGGAGCTATTGACGGTTGTCATATTGTTCGGTGTTGTGCAGGTCACGGCTGCCGTTGAAGTTGCCAGTGTTGGCATTCCATCCGTTGTAATATCAGCGGGTGTGTTATCTATATTGGTGGGATTCTGCATTTGACCAGACGATGCTGATGGTTTGGCCGATGTGGCTAACTTGTGTCCTTCGTACTTATTGTATTTTAAGACGTCTATATAATTGATAACCTTGTGCGTACAGACCACATATTCAGGCTTGGTTGTGTACTGATTATAGGAAATGTAGGAATCTGTTTGCAGCCAAATCCATTGATGACCCTTGGTTAGGAAACGGTAGTAGCCGGACTTTACTTTGCCCTCGTTCATTACTTTCGAAAGAAATCCCCAATTTCAATTATGCATAACATTTCGACTTCATTGGCGTATATATACTTACATTTCTCGTGACTGCTGACAATGGCATCTATATCGTCAAAGTGATAATAGTCATAGCCTGATGTACCAAGAACCTCAAACGGCATATAGCCAATTATGGGAGGTGCTCTTTGATCGAGAAATAGAAATTTCCATTCCATGCTGTGTTTCGAGGTAAACTCACTGCAAGTCGGATCTGTCACCGTTATTTCGGTTATCATCTGCGGCATTTGCAAACGTCCGGTACCCACAAATATCAACTTATGATCCAAATGATCGAAGGAAGACGTTGAACTTCGTTGCACACCGCGAGGTAGAGACGTTTGAGTATTTTGTGCGACCGCATCGACTTTTGCATCATTTCCTGAAAATATCAAAGCAAAAAGATTAACACTCACATTCATTATCCTCATCCTACGAAACGACAGACGTATACTTAACGGAATACATACTAAAATAACCTACAAATTTTACTAATTCAAACGAGTTCCGATCGCCATTCTCCGTCCCATAACGTTTCAAGTGCAGAAAGAACGTAATTTGATTACGGGCGCTAATGTCAGTTTGCATGGGAGCAATTACAGGCTTGGGATTGAGGAATATATTCAAAAGGATCTCATGATCCATTTCATAGCATAAATCGAAAATTGTCATTTTCATGAGATCACACTGAAAAATCAGAAAATCTCCAAGTAAATTTATGACTTCACAATGCATAGCTGGAATACCTACTTACCGGTAAGTAACCCAATTGGGCGGTCACACTATCCGATGTATAAAATATGGAGCCGCTACTGCCAAAAACGATTATGAAACCATCCAGAGATTCCAACATTAACTGAGTGAACTCGTCGTTGCTGAGGAAAGACGGTTTCCATTCCTGTTGTATTTCATAAACTTTTGATCTATCGGTTGCTTCTGTCGGCCAACACAATAAATAATAATAAAAAAATTCGATTTTTTTTAAATCAATTGTCGCGGCAGCAAACTTACCATTGTGATGCTTGAGGAATGTTATTGTCGACTTAAGTACCGTTGACTTATCCATTTTTCGATTCGATGTTGAAATCAAAGCACTTAAATCATTAACTAATGAATTGAATTGATCACGTCGCTTCTTCTCACTTAAATTCCGCGATCGCCTGAAAGATTTTAAAATAAATCATATAATATTCATTAATAATCGATAAATGTGGTGTATTATTGGATTTGAACATAGTAACAATGAAACGACATCATAAACCCATTATGAAAAACCCAAAGGAAATATGGATCCCATTTTTGATTTTCTGTACCTTTATGTCTATATGGAAGATGTTCATCTTGGATGGTTCATTAATAATCCATTTAAGAACTATCTGTCTTCCCAGGTGTATTTCGGAACCATAAGGACTTTGATGACAGATTCTTATGAATATAATACTTAGAGTTTGACTTTTGGACTTTTTCCCATAACCGATTTTAAATAGCAGGAATCAATGAATTCCACCTCTATTTCTACATCTAATATCAAGTTTATTACCATTTAGTACTCTTCTTCCGAAATTCATTATTTTTATTTTATTACACAGATTAAATATATATCAGATTTTAGCGAATACGTGGAACCTGTACGTATTCGCTAAAATCTTACTTTCATTTAACATTTTCGAACTCATAAGTACCATCACCACCACTAAATTTAGTACCAATTACTTCCAAAGCCCCCTTGGTACTTCTTTCTAACTCTCCGTCAGTGACCGACATTCCAAATTTTAGGTTTCCAGCTCTCTCCGTTACTCAAATCAAAATTTAGTGCATTTTCTATTCTATTTACTATTCGTACACATAAATTTGATTTTCCACAGATGTCGCCATAACCCAATACTACACTTTAATAATAATGTAAATTCCAAATCTCTGGGTTCAACCAAATCCAAATTTAGTACCATTTAGTACTTTTTATACTCCTAAGTAAGAATTTCTAAAATTACATCAATCCCACACTCTAACAGTAATCTTAATTCGACCAAAGTCCAAACCGTACCAAATTTAGTACTTTTCGTACAAATTTCCAAATGTATCTCAATCCTACTTTCAAATAGTAATCGTAAGTCCAAATTTGAGCATTCCAGATCTGTCTGTTCATTAAAAACAAATTATACCAGATTTGGTACCATTCTGCACTTTTCGTACCCATATTACAAACCTACCTCAATATTCCAAACCTGCTTTCAAATAGCAATCGTAAGTTCAAATTTAAGAATTTCAGCTCTGTCTGTTCTCCAACTTGTACCAGATTTGGTACCATTCTATACTTTTCCTACACTCCCACAGTAACTTAAGTGGCAACTTTCAGAATTCGAGTTCTAACCGTTCACTCAAGCCCACATTGTACCAAATTTTGTGCTTTTCGTACCCATACGTACGAATTTCCAAAACTACCTCAGTCATGCACTCCAATAATAACCTTAAGTGGTCATTTAAGGATCCGTTCACCAACATGCAAATTGTATCAAATTTAGTATCATTTATTACTTTTCGTTGACGTTAGTACCAGTTTCTAAAACTTCTCAATTTCACACTCCACAACTATTTTTAATGACAAATTTCAGGATCCCAGCCCCTTTTCGTACTTATGAGTTTCATTTTCAGCACTGTCTCAATCCTGTACTCTAACAGTAATTTTATTTTTAAATATACGTTTTCCATCTCTATCCTTTCACTCAAATCTAAATTGTACTAAACTTTTAAAACTAACTCCATGACCCATCCTACAATCCAATCCTTAATTTTAATTCCAAATTTTATGATTCCCGCTCACACAAAACGAATTGTACCATATTTAGTACCATTTAGTGCTTCTCGTATCCATAAGTACGTAATTCCAATACTACTTTAATCCTGTAATCTTTCATTCTAAATTGAAGTTTTCCATCTCTATCCGTTCACTCAAATCTAAATTGTACCAAATTTAGTACTTAGTAGTATTACGAATTTTCAAAACTATTGACATATCTCAATCCTGCTCTCAAACTGTTATATTAATTAATTCCGTTCACACAAAAACATTCACACATAATTAAGTTGTACCAAATATAGTACCATTTAGTACACATAAGTACAGTATTTTTCGGTTAATTGGACATCAACATTTGCACAAATTTTTGTTCAATTAACCGAGGAACCAATTATCCGAACCCGCTTAATTGAATAGTTTGTTCAATTACAGTAATCACGTATAATTGGAACTACTAATGATTTGAAAAAAAAAAAACCAATGTCAAATACAAATTACGCTTCCTCGCAGTTTTTCCTTAGCAATAAACATATGTTTTGAATTAGTAGAGATGCCACCTAGTATTTTTCAGAAATTATGTCAAATATGTATGTAAAAATGGCAGATTATTTTTCAATTATTATTATGCAATTAACCGGTGAAAAGTAAAAGGAAATTTATTATTGATGACATGAATTTTGAACCAATTAAGCGGAAAAATCAATTAACAGGGTTTAATTATCCGAGAAAATTTACATGTATTTTCCTATGAAATATTTTTTGCCCCATCATGTGGTTCAATTAAGCGTGGAAACCAATTAACCGTAGGGTCAATTAACCGAAAAATACTGTACTACCCTTCCATATCTCATTTCTAAAATCCAAATCCAAATTGTACCACATTTAGTTCCGTTTAGTACTTTTGGTACACATAAATACGAATTGTCAAAGATGTGTCTTTAGCTCAATCTTCAACAGTTATCTTACTTCCAAATTTCAGGTTTTCAGCTCTATCATTTCAAGCAAAATCCGAATTATACTAAATTTAGTACCATTTAGAACTTTTCGTACCAGTAAGTACGACTTACTACTACGACTCCTAAACTACCTCAATCCTGCACTCCAACAGCCATTTTAATTCCCAATTTAAAGACATCAGCTCAATCCTGTACTACAATAGAAATTCTAATTCCGATTTTCAGGCTTCCATTTCTATACACTCATTTAAACGCAAATAGTACTAACTTTAGTACCATTTTGTACTTTTTATATAAATACTAGCTGGACCCGTGGCGCTTTGCTGCCCACACTAAAGTGATTAACATGGGAAAGTTCACGTAGAAAACTATTTATATGCAGTTAAAAACAGTTAAAAGCTATGATATAGGTTTTATAGTAGCCTAATTCGATGATTACTGTTCGGCTATAGATATTTCGTAGTGTAATATATGTAATTATATCGTACAGCTGGTTAATGTATACGTTATTCGATTCAATAGATTACAAATACATTTTTAAAAACAAATTTGATTGACTTATCTCAATAGGATTATACACTAATATATTTTTTCCAATATTTACATGTTTTTCATTAATCGTTCAAAGACCAACACAGTCATTCATTCCCATTATCCCCAACCTTTATGTCTGTATTCTCAACTGATTCCTCATAATGTGGCTGGGATCCCAATTGATATCGCTTAGATCCCTGCAGTTTAATTCCTGTTAAGGTTTTCAAAAGAATGCATTATCACATTATAATATTTTTACCGAACCTAGATTTAGTCTTGATCTTTACTGTACCAAGATCAAGTCCGAAGATAGAATTTGTGGCAATTGAGTTAGTCGTTTCCTCTATACATCTTCGAAATAATAGTTTTTGTCATATCAGTTTAATCAACTAAACTTAATACTTTTAATCCACCATCAGCATTTCGCTGCTGGATATCTCCCAATTATTGCTGATTCATACTTTTATTGAATCCATATTTATTTTCCCCAATGGTTGTAGAATTATTGAAATTCAAAACAAAACCAGTGAGCGGAGCAGTATAGTCGGACGGGGCCGACCATGCGATACCCTACACAACTACCACGAACTCTAACTTTCTGAGGATGATTATTCCGAGTCTGAGTAATATTTCGTGATATTTGCCCCCTCTTGTCCGATTAGAGGTTAACAACACCTCTTCCTTACTTTTTTTCGGATATTCAGTACAGTCCTTCTAATTACTTGTCCAGATTACCTTCACGGTGGGTTGTGTTGTGATTTTCGGATTATATTCTACTCGAAAACTCACAAAAAAATATGTTTTCGGTCCATTTCATCCCAAAATTTTAATCTGATCATCACCGAAAATTGTAGGCGTTGTTCTTGACCATAACATGAACTTCATGAAAAATTTCAAAGCCATCAGCGCGACATTTCTCCCTCTAATGTGGTAATGGTTTACTAAATAATATCTGAATACGTAAGCACCTGTAAATATTTGACTGTAACTCCCACATCTGAGTAGATACATCACTATATTTGGTATCAATTTAAAGGCCAACCACTCCTCTTGGATATGCTATCAACTCCTGGGGTCTACATCCTCCAGCAGTAAATATATATGCCATAGAATACAAATTTTGTCATTTTTCACACAAAAGTCAGGGTCCATTTGTCCCGCTAAATATTGACCGATCTTTATCAAAACATGCATGCTTATTCTCTGGCCCGATCCCCTTTTCCATGCAAAAATTCGCGGTGTTTGGGCCATAATTGCGGCCTCTGGAGCGACCAGAAAAACCGACAAAAATTTAGTATTTGGTCCATTTCATCCCCTAAATATTAACCGATCTTTTCCAAAAACAATAGGGGTCTTCATTGGCCAGAACCCATCCTACATGCAAAATTTCGTGAAGATTGGTCCATAACTGTGGCCTGTATCGTGTTTACAAATTATAATGGACAGACGGACGGACGGACGGACGGACGGACACACATGTCTAGATCGACTCAGCTAGTCGAGATATGACGATCGGTATACTTAAAGGTGGGTCTAGGACCAATATTTCGCGGCGTTACAAACATTTGGGGCTGCACAAAGCTATAATACCCTGACAACATAGTTGTGTAGGGTATAAAAAGTTCCTTAACTGAATTTTTTTCCAAAATGACAAAATGTGAAAATTGTAATGTCAATAATTTTCATGTTACATAAATTTTATTAAAATATGTGAAGATAATGGAGAGATAACAGCAGACATTCGCGGAATTACTGAACTGGTGTTTTTTTCTCATTACTGATAATAACGTAATAGAGCAAAAAATT